CTGGTTTGCACTCTTTTGTACATTTCTATATGAACTGTACAGCACAGTAGCGTTATTGTTAATAATTTTTACACTCTGCATCAAGCTGTTAACATATGCCCGTCTGCCATGATTTGTTATGTTTATTACCCCGTTAGGTTATATTTATTTTTATGTTTGGATTTGTTATGCTTTAAATTAAGTGTTCTCATGACAATTCTTTGGATTCGTTATTTTGTTTAAAAGTTTAAATATGTGATAAAACTGATATTTTATAGTAAAATGATAAAAAAATAAAAATAAAAAATCATAACAATTTTTATTTTTTATTTATATAATTACAAATGAGACATGTATTATATAATTTATTATTAGAGTCAAATTTTTTAGAATTTATTACGTGTAGAAATGAAAAAAATATTTTATCAGTGTTAAATTTTAGGTAAGTGATTAAAAATCTGACAGTAACATTTTTTTTTTTTAAATGGAATTATTGGTGCAAAGTTAGGATCACCGTCACCAGCAGGACTATGCCTGAAAACGACACGACGTTGGTCGTTTTCTATACGATTCTGCCAGGCCTGACCACGAAGTATTTACCAATGACACAGACTTTTATTCCCATGAAAGTACATCTTACTGCAGTAATTTTTAATATTTTTAAATATAAATTTCCATTAATATTTAAATTATAACTTTATATTTCTATAAATTGAAAAAAATTAAAATTGAGTGAATTTTTAATTAAATTATAAAATGTATTATATATATATATTTTTTTAAAAGTAAAATATATTTTCAGAGAATAACTTTCTAATAAGATAATACTTTAGTAAAGCTTGACCGAAACAACTTACATACAACATTACAAATAATTAAAAAATTATTAAAAAATTAATGGGACTTAATTATTAATAATTTGCCATAATTAATGATCATTTATTGCACCCTAACTTGTATTCATTATATAACTTATACTACCTTCTTAAATATTATATAAATTAAAATTAAAAAAAATATCTTAATGAATAATATAAAATTTAAATACTTTGATTCTTAAATATTTTTAAAGAAAGAAAATTATATTAAATTAAAAAAATTCAGCTGAAGTGTACTGATAAAAATAACTTACTTCCAGTCATGTTAATCCGTTTACGCGGATTTGATTAGATTATATATAAAACAGGAAACTGCAGCGGCAGTTCTTCTTCTCCTCCTCCTCCTCCTCCATGCAAGAAAATGGATCAGAAATCCGGAGATTCAAATGGGTCTGCTCCGAAATCAATGGCGATTGAGCACAAAGCTTATGCTCGAATCGGGTTACTGGGTAACCCCAGCGATGTGTACTACGGCCGCACCATTTCCTTCAGCATCCGCAATTTCTGGGCGTCCGTCAAACTTGAGCCGTCCGAGCATCTCGTCATTCAGCCTCACCCTTTTCACGATATGGTTCAGTTCCAGTCCTTTGATCACCTGGTACTACTCTCTGATCTGGGTTTATCTCTGTTGATTCTGTTTATTTGGATTACTTGAATTTGATGTTTAAAATGATGAGTGTGGTTTGACAATTGATATAACAATAATATAATTGATAAATGGTGGAACTATTCATAAATATCTATTGTATATGTTTTTTTTTTTACTAAATTTGATCAGGGTTTGTACTGCAATTGAATATGAGTTTTGATTTTGGACTTCGATCAGTTATTCTGGCAGTAGCAGTACAGATCTTTGTTAAACTTAAATGTGTAGATGGGTTAAATGTGAAGTATAAATGAATAGTATATATGTAATTTTAAAATAACGTATGTTTAATATAACAGAACATTTCACAAACTTGTGGGTTAAAGTACTTGTAGGTTTGTACTCAGACTTGTATAATCTCTTGAGGAAATTTAAAAAGGAGAGCTTAGTGGTTTAAATTATTACCAATTGTGTAACTGTTCTATTAGACTATTATTCACATCTTTTTGTGATTTGAACATCTTGGCAATTGGCAAATTTATAGTCCTCTGTATATATGTGTGAGTATATACTCTTTGGGTTGTTGAAGTAGCTCATTTGTTTACTTCCAGATGAATCGGCTGACAAATGAGGGTTATTATGGAGGTGTACGACTGCTTATGGCAATTTGCAAAGTTTTCTTTAGCTACTGCAAAGATAACAAGATCGATCTTCACAATCAGAACTTCACTTTATCGTATGAAACTAATATCCCTCGGCAGGTAGAGGTCTAAGTCATTAGTTTGAGATAAAAGAAATTGCTTACTCATAGAGGCCATGATTATTGCATCAGCCATGCGATAGCCTCCCATTAGTTTCCAGTTAACTTCTCCAGAAATCGTTTCTTCAATCTGTTTATATATACATATATCTATTTATGTATAGAGATTAAACCATCAGCATTTTTGGTTTCTACTCTGTTCCTTTGCGCACCTTGTTCATCGTGTATGAGGCATTATGGTCTCTGTTTCTTGAATGGCTGAGTGTAGGGGGAAGGTATGGTGGTTGTGGCAAATTGTTTAACTTGTATCTTCTAGTTAGTTATGTACCTATATTGTAGACTGTTTATTGACTTTAAGAGAAACTGAATGCATGAACTTATAGAAAATTTCATGTTCAAGTTCAAGGTCCAAATTTTACGACTGTAGATAGCTGAGAACTTTTTCTCTGTTTTTGGTTATTGGACAATGTTAATGTCCAGATATTTTTCTTTTCCTGATTGTAGAAGAACATTCAAGAAAAAATTCCTTTTACGTTTTGGTTCTACTTTCTTTCTTCAGTTTCATGTTTATTCTCCAGCAACATATGGATTCAAGTTATAACTTTCACATTCCAGACAGGACTTTCAGGTTCTAGTGCAATTGCCTGTGCTGCCTTCCGCTGCTTGCTTGATTTTTATGAGGTCAGGCATTTGGTCAAAGTAGAAGTCAGACCTAATCTTATCCTCAATGCAGAGAAAGAACTTGGAATCGTTGCTGGTCTTCAAGATCGCGTGGCACAAGTCTATGGGGGCCTTGTTTACATGGTTTGTGTTGCTGACGCAGATATGCAGATTAAGTGGACAATGTATGTTGTTACTCATGTTTTCAACTATTATTCTGCAGGATTTTAGCAAGGAATACATGGAGAAATTTGGACATGGCATCTATATACCAATTGATATAAGCCTTCTTCCTCCTCTATATCTGATCTATACTGAGAATCCAAGTGATTCTGGAAAGGTTAGTATCATAAAGTGGATACTCTTAAGCTTTATACTCCTACTTCCTCATTAACAGGAATCAATCTTCATAGAACTCATCAGAGCTACAGTTTAGCTTTTATCTAAGGAAAAGGCATACATTGGCTATCAGGTAGAGATGAGATAACATACGCGTATCACAGGTCTGGAGTAATTCATATTCTTGTTGATTTATTAACTTCAATCAAAGGGATGTAGCTGACACTCATTAATCTCTGTTTGTTTTGTTTCCCCTTAAAGCTATTTTATAATCGTAAGCTATGAGCTTCACTATATTAGCCAGCTTAGTTAGAGGGATTCAGAGAGAACAACTTCCTACTGCCAAGATTGTTCCTGAGGCCTAGCTTCTGATATGCTCTTTGATATAGGATAATGTGTATAAGATTTATTTATATCAGTTATTAATTGCAGGTACACAGTACAGTTAGGAAAAGGTGGTTGGACGGTGATGAATTCGTGAGATCATCAATGGCAGAAGCTGCAAAAATAGCACTAGAAGGTCGGACAGCAATACTCGAAAAGAACTACTCTAAACTTGCAGACCTCATGAAACGAAATTTTGACCTTAGAAGGTAAGAGATTTCCAGCAGTAAGGTCTAAGATCACATGATGATGTATTCGATCTTATTTAGACCTGGAAGGCGCATTGATAGATCTAGGTTGTATAAATGAAAATTAGTTGCTAATAACTATTCTGACAACTGCCACCATAGGCATGAAAAATAGAGTCCAGTTTGATTTGTCTTTCCAAGATCTAGAACTTACTGGTGTTCTGGGAATTGAAATTCAACGCCTCTGCTGGCTTGTCAAATGACACATAAAACATTTGGCAGCCATGACATTAGTACTGCAAAAAAGAAAAAATGAAAGAACATCAAAAGCTGCATAAACAAGTTGCTAGTGACTAAAGCCTTTCGTTTTCAGCAAGATGAGCTTATGTATTTTTGTTTTTGTACTGAATTTGGTATGCGAAATGTAATCCAGGAGCATGTTTGGAGATGATTGCCTAGGAGCATTAAACATAGAAATGGTGGAGATAGGTCGGAGAGTGGGTGCAGCAACAAAATTTACAGGAAGTGGAGGAGCTGTAGTTGCATTTTGTCCTAATGGCCCCGACCAGGTGAGACTTCTGGAGGAGGAATGCAAGAAAGCAGGATTTGTTATTCAGCCAGTGGAAATTGCTCCGCCGTGTCTAAATGAAGTTGATCTCAAAACCTCAACAACTCTAGACAAAATTTAAGGGCATTTTTTTGGAAAGCAGGAATAAGATAATATGTAGAGATTTTCTTTTTTTGTCTTTTGCAGAAGCAGAGTTTCTGAACATTGTGAATTTTTGTTAATGGATACTTAAGCAATAAATAAGATATTTCTGAGTCCAAATTGATTGTTAGAAGATATGCAAAATTATCCACATATAGCATCATTCTTCTAAGAGTAAATTTTCAAGAAAGCTCAGAAAATAAAAATTGACATGAAAGCTCATATGAACCCTGGTTTCTAAAAGTGTTCATCTCATATTTCAAATAACTGTGCAATTGACAAGAGGGACAACCTCAAACATTTTTCATACAACTGTTAAATCTGTTTTAATATGTCAGGAAAGAAAAGAGGAATCTATAAACAATAACTGACAATAAAAAAATAAAAAGAAGAAAAAACATGATTATTTAATCTACGATTAGAATGAAGAACTCTACACGGCAATATTTTACAGTATTAGCATCAATGGGAAGGCTAACTGTGTTATAGGAAAGATCCCAGCTTCAGTTTTCTACTTCTACTGCTGCCAAAGTAATTATGCTACAACTTTTTAGTCACAAAGCGATGCCAAGAGCTCCTCTGGCGATTCCCAAATAGGAAGGTCGAAATAGGATTGCTTTAATTGCTCCTCTAATGTACCACACATTGCTTCTGATACATCACAGAGATTCGAAACGTCACGAATAATTGCTTCTTGTGCTTCTGCCTGCAGTTCAAGATGCAGAAAATCTTATAACAATGTTCCTAAAAAAAAAAGTAAAGGAAAAAAGCATATACAAAAAGAGTTGGAAAAAAGCTAATAGGAGAAGAAGATGAAATAATCATATGTAAACTAACGATGCCCATGGCATTTATCTGTTTGGTTGCCAGATAAAGAAGACAGTTTCTCCTTTTCGGAGCATTTCATTATTTGATATTAAAATCCAACACAATGACGCCTGTCATTAAGTTACTTGTTAGTTGCTACCATAAGTCGTTCATCAATGCAAAACTAAAACTAGGTATATAACTGAATCACGGATATCTTTTCAACTCTTTTGCTCCCAGCACCCTTAGCAATTAAACATGGAACCAAGTTAATTTAGACAGGTCATATTCAAGGTTCCTTGCCCAAGAATTCTAACTCTGATGGGTATGTTCTACCCTTATCCAGGCCAGAAAGATGAAGTCAAGATCTACACCAACTTACCTCTACAATCAAAGACAACTAAGGTTCAGATAGTGATATATATATATGTATCTCTTTTGACCGAGAAGAAAAGGTAATAACCAGGTTATCTCTTATCTGACCATAAATCCTCTTTTTTCAAAGTGACAAAACCCAAACATTTCCATAAAAATTAAGTTGACAAAAGAAGAAAAAAACTAATATTCAAAGGGTTTTGATTATTTCTTCTCAAACGCGCCAAAACGTCAACTTCAGTTAATTGCTGCAAGTTGTCAACATTAAACTTGTTTCAGCAATGAAATAGAGTATTACCTTGGCTTAGCTATACAATTAAGGTTGCTACTGTCATGTCCTTAGGCTATGTTTCCAACAAATAAACTAAATGCAAAATGTATAATCAATTCGCAAATCTAACTTGTGATCCAAATTATGAACATAAAGGTTCATCCTTGCAAATTAATTTCATCCCTTTCATGGAATTTTTTCGATCCAACATCGTATTAAACACAAATCAAGCATGCTATTCTGCAATCAATCATGTTAACCAACACAAATTGTGAGGGGAAAAAAAAATAGATCTCATAAACCATGCTTAGCAAACAACGAATAATTGAAGTAGAATACTGTGGAACAACAAATTTTGTTTTCCAAAATACTAACAGTTCTTATAAACAGTGATAATGCCAAAAGTAATCTCAATTGATTTAGAAATTTCAAATTTAAGCCCATTTGCAGAAATTTCTATTATCTGAGTAACCCCTAAATCCAAGCTTAAATCTTTTTTCGCTCAAAACAAGAAGAGCTCACATATTTTGATAACCCAATTTTTGTTCAGCAACCAGACAACAATTTAGAAAAAAAGTACCAATTACCTGCAGAAGGAGCTCGTCGAGCAGGGACCCAGAAGCATCGTCCGTCCTCTGCACAACCCCAGAAGGTCCCAAAACCGACGTCGTTTCCTCACCAACTCCTCGTCGCTCTCCCTCTTCTCTCTGCTCCCTACACCGAAGTGTCAACTTCTCTTGCATTTCACTCAACGTGTTCGACAAAAGTTCCCACTGATCAATCTCTCTTTGGTACTTCTTCTTCAGCTTCAACAAGGCCTTTCTCTTCCGTTCCTTCCGTTGCTTCTCCTCCACTTCGGGATCCACCACCGGATCCCGCTTCTTCGATACGTCGACGACGGCGGCCGGGTCGTTGGCGAGTCGCCGCCGTTTCTTCCGCTTGTAGATGAAGCCGTCGTCATTGAAGAGTTCCCACTCGTCGTCTTCAGCGTTCCAAGCCGAAGCTGATTCTGGCTCCATGAAAAGCGAGAGATCCCTTCAAGCGGGAAAAATTTGAAGCTCAACTATTTTTGAAAATTGAAGCTTTTGAATTTGTCGGGCGAGAGAGAGAGAGAGAGAGAGTCGCGTGGTGGGCACGCACTCACTGTCAGTTAAGTAGTGGAAATGAGTCAAATTGACGCGCTTCCTGTTTGGTTAAATAAGAAATTGAATATTAAATTGTTTTTATTTTACACGTGGAATGACTGGAATTATTTTAATTTATATTTAATTAAATAAAGAAATTCCATGGAGCTCAGCTGTTTAGTGATAAACGAAGAAGACGATGAATAAAGCGGAACCGGAATAGCAAGTACGACGTCGTTTCGGGTGTCATCAATGGCGAAATCGCTGTCGTCTTTTCGTTTTCTATGCACAAAACGTGTGTTCTCTTCAACAGTGATGCATAGACTGTTTCTGTTTCCTTCAAAGAATGTACAGAAAACCCTCTTTGCGACTTCACCTTCTTCGTTATTCTTCTCCACGACATGTACGCCGTACCCACTTCAATACGAGATGATCATCAGCCGGCCTACTCAATCGTCACTCGCCAGAGCTCGGCGCCGACCCGTACCCGACTCAGCCAACTCAGCGGACTCACCGGAGAACAAAAACCCAGACGTGGAACTGGGTTTTGATTCATGGATAGATAAAAAATTGGGTGAGGAGAAGGAAATAAGCGGACCCAGTTCGAGTAATTTGGAAATGGACAAAGCCAAGCGGAAGTATTATAGCAAGAGAAGGAAGAGGATGTACGGGTCGGATTCTGATGATGATCGGAAAAATGAGGATGGTTTCGTGGAGTTAAAGCCGGAAGTTGTGGAGTTCAACAGGCTGCATAAAAGAGAAGAGGAGTTGTATTTTTACGATGCGTTTGCTTATCCATGGGAGAAAGATAAACATTATAAGATGGTGTATCAGTTGGAGAAGAAATATTTTCCTGATCAGTGTCTGGATAAGGCGTTTCTTGAACCAGGAGAGTCAAATGTTGATAAGAATGTGAAGGGAAGAGTGAGAGGTAAGAAGAGAGTTGACGATGGCAGCGGTGGGAAGAGTGGAGAGAAGAGAGAGGAGAATGTTGGTAGTGCAGAGAATGATAAAAAGTTGGTGTTTTTTGAGGAGGAGAAAGAAGAGAAAGGAGGGAATTTGAGCAAGGATGTAAAGAGAGATGTTACAGAGAAGAAGGTGATGGAGTTCTTCAAGTGTTTGAACAAAGTTCCCAATGGAAATGCAGAGGTTGGTGAGGGGGAGCCTTATCTTGTGACGAGGAATAGTGAGCTTCCCCCTACATGGGATGGACCATATGGCACGGTTCTTCTTATCAATAAGCCCAAAGGTTAGTTGATTGTTAGACTGTGCATTCTGGCAAGAAAATATGTGTCTTTTCTTCTTTCTGATATGTTTAACTTCATCTGTTAAGCGGTTGATCTCGTGATGATTCTTGGACTTCTCATCTAATTCCCGGAGCCCTTCATATGCTTTGATCACTTATAAATTATCATTTGATGTATTGAAAGTGAACATTATGGTTCTGAAAAACAGGTTGGACTTCATTTACAGTTTGTGGAAAGCTTCGTTCCGTAGTCAAAGTGAAAAAGGTAGCTTTTGCTAAGTTACAGAATGTAGATACAGATTTGCATGCTTCTCTGATTTCTTTCTTTATTTTTTTTTGGGTCCTATTCTAACTTTTCTTGTTGCAGGTGGGGCATGCAGGCACCCTTGATCCCATGGCAACTGGTTTATTAATTGTATGTGTTGGTAAAGCCACAAAGTTAGTAGAAAGGTTAGTGTAAATATGATTAAAAATTTTGTATATGTCCGGGGAACTTTGTCCATCCCTAGTCCCCCACCAAAGAGGTCTCTGGATGGTCTTGATTGTTTATTTCTCTTGCAGATATCAAGGTATGGTAAAAGGTTATAGTGGAGTGTTTCGATTAGGGGAAGCTACATCAACTTGGGATGCTGATTCACCGGTATATTTTCTTCTTACTGTTGCGTGTTCCTGTGAACTCTCTGTTGCCCTCTCATATCATAGGATGTGTTTTAAGCAATGTATTTATCCGCATCTTGTTGCATACTACATTTTTACCCTATTATCATGTTCAGTTTTGGTTGTTATATTCTTAAAAGAGCAATGGAGTAGTGGGCAACCCTAGATGCATGGCTTACAATTTTGCTGGAGTATTATGACATTGTCAAGGATTTGGCGTTCTTTGCAGCCTGTCTCTCTTACTATATGGTGCTATATAAAATTGAAAAGTGATTGATAGCAGTTATTTTCATTCTCCATACGAGAACATCATACCACGAAATGCTGAAAGTAGGAGTACTTATGATACAATGATATTTCCTTTGCTTTTGTGTGGGGAAATGAAAGGATATTCCTGCATATGGTTTTTGCTAAAATTATTAGTTGCATCTGTTGGGAATTTCTTAGTTTCAGTTTCTTTTGAGCATCAGGCCTGCTATAATTCAATATTCACTCTACCTTGAGATGCAGGTAATTCTACGAGAGCCTTGGGAGCATATCAAAGATGAGGATATAAAGAAAGCTGCTGCATCCTTTTGTGGGGAGATATGGCAAGTTCCTCCAATGTTCTCTGCCATCAAGGTAAAGACATGTTCCATAGCAAATATAAAAACGATAGTCATATAACAATGCTGACAGATTCTTTTATGAACAGCTTGCACAATTTAGTAGCTTGATTGCTTCCGGCTTTTCTTTCTTTGGTGATAGGTAGGAGGAGAGAAGATGTATGAGAAAGCAAGAAGAGGAGAAAGTATTGAGCTTTCACCTAGAAGAATCTCGATTTTCAAGTTTGATATTGAGCGGAGTTTAGATGACAGGTCTTTTTTACTTTCTTCTGGATATTTTGCAGTCCTGCACCACAAGTACACTAATGAACCATTATTTTTGTGATCCTTTTCGTCTATCATATAAAACCACAATTACAATATACTTTGACACGAGCCCCATCTTGATATTAATTATTATGCTAAAGGATAGCTTTGGCAGACTGTGCTAAACATGATACGTGCTATGCATTTTGGGAGCAGCCATTTACTCAGATTATGAAGAGGATATAGGCATATGATAAAATGAGACGGGGACATCTAGTTTCATAGTTATACCATAACAGTAAAGATCATGCTTTATGTTGGAATTTGTTCCAAGATTAATATGTTTTGGTTTGTAAAATTCAAGAGATTGACCAGAGTAAACAATCCGTCACTGCATATAGGAGGACAGAGAATCATGATTAGCTGCTGGATTTCCTGTTAGGTTGTTGATTTGTGAACTTGGTCAGGTAGGTGGGATGGAAATTTTAGTAGTAAAATTGCAGGGGCCAATTTTTGGGAATAAATAAATTAATGGTTGAAGAAGCATATTGTCTCAAAAAAAAAAAGGTTGAAGAAGCATAGAATTAGCCATTATACACGACCTTGTTCTGATTATCATTCTCCGAAATTACTTCTAAAACTTCCTAAAATTTCTGCACTTTTAACACGGGAAGCCAAATATCAGTCTGAACTGTGCCTTGGAAAGTGGAGTTAATGGTATAAGAAACTATTCTGAAAAACTAAAAGCTGTCTTTTTATTTGTTATTTATAATGTGACAAACAAATTGACCTGGTTTAACTTCTTGAATTTTTCTGCAGACAAAATTTGATTTTCCGTGTCACATGCTCAAAAGGCACATACATCCGGTCGCTATGTGCAGATTTTGGGAAAGCTCTTGGGAGGTAATCACTTAAATTGGTTTAGTTATACGAATTGTTTTGCCCTGGTTTATCGCTTGCCCTTCATGATTCTTTCTTGTGATGAAAATTTAGCTACCTAAGTAGAATTTGGTGTTAGTCATATTTAATTTTTAATAAGTTTCGAGAATATCCCTATTCATAGATTTGAGATCCCTATATATGAATTGAACGGTTTGAATGATCAACTCTATGATCGGTTATTAGAATTAATAGGTCTTCAAACATTTTGTAGTAAAATAGTAGACACACGAGACATTTCATCCTATCTTGTGCTACCCATGCTCCAAATATTACCATAATATTTTTAATCGACATTTTCTCTTCTGCAGCTGTGCTCATCTAACTGCTCTTCGAAGAGATTCAATCGGTATGGCCACTGCATCGTTCTTCTTCCTTCATCGTTCTTCTGGCTTCATGAACATGTTTTTGTATTTCGTCGACCTTTTTTTGTTATCATTTATACATCCATAATTATAAATGCATGGGAATCCAATACTATATTTAAGCAGAAGCTAGAACTGTGTTTAACAAGTTATTGGTTTGTATTACAGGGCAGTATTTAGCCGATGATGCATGGGAATTCAAGGAGCTGCAAGAGGCAATTGCTAAAAATTATTTCTAACTGCCTGACTCTGATCTTCTTTCTTCAACAATTCTTGAAGCCAGAAGGACAATTGGACATTGAACCTCTTTTAACTCCATTTTTCCTCTCTCTTTTTTTCTTATAATTTATTTAATTTCAGAACCCGAAAATATAATACCCAGGTGTAGATGTTAGATTTATAAGGAAATGTAGCTTAAATTTTTTTGGGAAAATTCTGAAAATTATTTATGTTGCTTGTAAAGATTATACATTACTTCAATATAAAGCAAAAGGTGAAATTTTTAGTTGAATAGTTAGTATGTAGTTTTATAAAAATTAATAGATTTGAGTTTAATTATGTATTTTCATATGTTTTCAATCTTTTATTATAATGTGTACATGTATTAAATAATTAATGATATATACATATATATATTTTTACTCAAAACGAAAAATAAATATCATAAAAAGATGCAGCTTTTGAATATACATATATATATATATGTAAATAAATTGTGAATAGTACAATGGTTACATTTAGTTAAATGCTGAATATGATGATACAAACAATTCTAATGATAAAGTTATCATTATATCAAAACTGAGTATTTTTTTCCGAATGCATGTCTTTTGCTATCTGAATGTGAATATTATCATCGACTAATCGAATTAAACATATAAATATCGTAGAAAGAATACAATAATTTATCCAACTACTAGTATTGTTCAAACAGCCTTGAACATCACCTGAGAGTAAGTTTCTACAAGAATATTAAGTGTTAGTACTATAAATATCTTTTGTCATGGTAGTTGCTATTTGCTATCTTGTTAACCATTTGTTGAATTGTAACTATAACCATTTGTTGAATTGTAACTACCATTTTCCATAGCTGCAAAATAAGCTTTCTCTGCGCTGCTCATTCGATCTTGGAACATCGTCCATTCTCTTCGACACCTGTCCCTCACCTGATACAAAATCGTAGAAATAATCCAATTAGATCAGTGTTCTTAAAATTTGGATATAAATAAGAAACAACTCAGGGCAAAAAAAAACATATCTTTCAATTTCAATTTAGTTTCTTAGTAGTCGTTAAATGATTATAATGTCACGTGGATGTAAAAATTACAAAATTAGTAATTATTCTTACATTTCCCTGAAAAAAATTGAAAAAGACAAAAAAAGATTAGTATATATTATAAGTAAAAGTATACCGTTCGAAAACTAAAAGTACCCGGAAAATAATGTAAACATATTATACAAGAAATTAAGTAAAATATAATTATATGAAAGGCTTAAAATTGTTATTCTTCAAAATAATATACGTAGTTATAACTATACGCAAGACTGTCTATGTAATTGACACACGAAAATCATATTCCTATATTTCGGGAAACCAATTCACAGACAACAACCAGGCAAACCACTTCTACAGGGAGATATAACAGAAAAACAATGGAACGAATATCTTTAAATCATCACATACCCCTTCCCAAGGTTGCCTCCCACTCTCTGGTTGACCCTGTGGAAGCCAAAAAGAAATAACTAAAATGTTCTTTGTACTAATAAGAAAATTCAATGTCATTAATGGACTGGATGAGTTACCTGTTTCCCAAGTGAAGGAAGTCCTTGATGAACAACCCACTGAGCATCAACAACTCCGATTCTCTCATGAGCATTCTAGTTTCATACAGTTTTTTTGAAGAAAAATATCTTTATTAACAATGACTACTCGGAAATAAGTTAATTATTGAAAAAGGAACAAATAGACACTGACCTCAACACATTTCCTAAGAGCAAAATCTATACCCCATCCGTGAACCAAGTCATTCTGCAATCCGAGGATAAGAAATGAGTACACACACAAGGCTGGGGAAATGTTTTCAAAGTGGGAAATAACAAGAACAGATGAATTTGCTGTCTGGTACCTGGATCATGTGCCAAGTACAGCGCCATGCCTTCCGGGAGAATACAGTAGCCATGATCTCAACAAATCTGTTAGCATATTCAGTGTAAAATGGATTACCATCATATTGACAATCAACGTACAGGTGATGGAAAAAGGAGTGATTCACATGGTTTAACAATTGAAGAAAATGAACTTAATTATGTTTGCATACGCTGCACATGGTGGCAAATTAGGATCAGTACACCAACCATTTTTCTCCTCAGAATGCCTGCGAGAGGATGAAAGGAAAAAAAATATGATCAAGCCACAAATTAAAAGGATAAAAATGAGAAAAAAAAAAAACCAAAAAGAGATGTTGAGAAAAGTTAGGTTTCTTACTTGTGAACTTCAGAATCGTCTCTCTTCTTAGTCATCTCCCATGTCAATCCTCCATCTGGCTGTATACCTGGCTGTGAGATCTCCAATTCATGTTTCCTTACCACTTTTAAGTATCTGAAACAGAAAACTAATTTAGCCTACAGCCTAGCTTTTCCGAACAAAGGATATGAAAATTTACCAACACTTACTCCTCTGCATCAAAATGTTCCAACCCAAGATCTTCATCCCATATAAATATGTAGTCATAGATGGCAACAATATCAGGGTGCAAAAAACGCTTAGCGTACCACCTTAAAAGAATTTCATAGGTTTACATTAGAATTTAGTTAAGAAGCTTTAACGAATTCACTATGATATGTAAGAACTAAAAGTGAAATCTAAAAAGCTAGATGCTGACCATTTAGTTTGCTTTCGAGCGCTCACATGAATTGCTCGTCTTGACCATTCAAACTCTTCCCATTCACTAGTCCGACCATCATAGTGAAACAACATAATGGTGAAATTCTCTGAGAACTGTAGAAATAAATGTTTAGATACAAACATAAATGTATAATGAGAAACAAAGACCGAAAAAGCCTCACTGACCTTTCTAATAGCTGCATCGATATTTTTCTTCTGCTCATATCCAACAGTAAATGTCACAAGATACCTGGGCCTGATGGTTAAGTCCTGGAAATGCAACATCTATTAGTTAAAGGTTCTTTGTTCAGATATGTGTAATTTTTTGGCTGAAATTTCTTAAAATCTATCTTGATGAACTTTTAAATTTTTTTGCAAAGCTATCTGATCCATTATTATTTAGCAAATGTTACTAAACCCTGCTTCTAATATTTTGCAAGAAATTTTAGATCCACTCTTTTTTTCTGGGTGCTTAAGGTGAATTAAGAAAATATAATTCCCGTAATCTAATCAGAATTTCCAGCTACGTCACCAACAATGTACTATCTTAAGTCATAGTAGTTATAACTCGAATTCACAATCCTAAAAATCCAACACAAATTACAATCTCTATGTTGTGGCATGCTTGTACTAACACTTGAGAAAACCAAATCCTCCTCCATGCCAAGCTGTCTCTGCGAGTGATTTCTTTATTTGTATTTTCTGGCTTCCAATCATCTAATGGTGAATTTGCATGCACCATACCCTCCTCCACGTGTTTTTTTGCTTGTTGATTATAAGTTTACAGCTCAAATGTGTTTTGTCTTTCATAAGCATGTAATAAAAGATGCACACCTCACTAGGAAGACCCCATAATCGGCGCAGATAGAGATCTGATTCTGATTCAATTATACCTGGTGGAAGTCTTTCAGCACCACGAGGATTTGTTGGAACCCAGATCTGCATAGAACAATGCGTTTTAACAGATAGGGGTAATATAGAAATTCAGAGGATTCTACTTGTTTAACTTAGGAGCCATTAGATCAGATATGAATGGTCATTTTGTCCTAAGCTGTTATTTAAAATTATTGGCAAGACAATTCAACAATCAGATTGATGAAATGCATTTCACTTGTCTTTCTAAACATGAATGGTATGTAGGAATGCACAATGCAACATAGGAACTAGGCTATACATGACTTCTCTTGGTGGTGCAACTCAAAGATAAAAGAAACCTCAGAAGTGTAGAAAGTGCACCAGCCACAAATCCAAACAACTAAAAGAAAAGCCTTCCTCAGAAGAGTAGCAAGTTCACAGAATACAAATCCAAACAATTAAAATACTGTAAGAACACCCGTAAGTGAATACGAAAAAGACAAATAGCGAACTGCTGGGTTAATCGGCTTCTTAAAATATTGTGAACTAGTTTAAACTAAACTTTTAATACTCAGAACTTCAAGTCAAGGATAAAGAAGCTCAGATTATATAAACTCCTATCTTCTTTTTCCTTCACTAAGATACTCAAAACAGAGCCCAAAATATGGTCAAATGAATTAAAATTAAATCACATGTTAGTCCCAAAAGAACACTAAACTTTTGTAAGTTCCAGACGGTTCAGATAACCCCATCTAAACCTCGTATTTGAAAAACAAAAAAGAAAAAAGAAAAAGATACCTCCGTATCATTTGAGTTGTAAGGTGGAAGAGGGATGCCTCCATCATCACTCTTCACAGGAGACCAAGCCTTGTATATTGTTTGCTTTGAAAGGCTTGGGTACTTGTCCCCAATATATGTAAGATCAATGGAGGGGAAAAGGCTGGATGGGAGATTCATCTACAAAATTTTAACAATATAAAAATAGATTCCATTACTAAAATACTCTGTTAACCTAAGACGAAAGCAAAAAGAGTAAATAGAGAACAGGATTGGCGAGAATTGAAATATATATATATATATATATCAATATAACATGATACATGAACAAAAGCGTGTTTACCTTGGTTAAGGAGAGTGTTGGAAAGGATATTCCTAGGAAGAAACCAATTAAAATACCAGCAAAAGTCATTATAAAAAGCCTCATCATTTCGTTAGGTTTTCTCATGTTTTTGCTGCATCCCAAAAGAGGTAGGTCAACAAACTTTACCAAAACTAGTAAAAGAACAAACAGAATTTAAAAGATCCAACTTCCAAAAGAAGAAAAGTAAGAAATCCCACACCTATGTGGAGATACTCCTATCAATCAAGTTCTGTTGACTCTATAATCACAAAGACACAAGTTGAAGTCCAGCAAGAACGAGCTGGTCCATATACTAGCCTCGCTTCTTCGGTCCTTCAAACTCAAATAAGCACCATTCCAGCAAGACTACCAATTCTGAAACCATATTGAGTAATTGGAACGAGATTAGCTGACCAAGAAGATGCATTATATTCCTTGAAAGCAACTACCAAAAGAAATTTAAGTAATTTGAATCCAACCATTTGTCATGCTATAGTTAAAGTTTTGAACTCGGATATAAGCAGAATAAATTAGAATCCATACTCACAAAACCTTCACTATCCCCTATGAATGAATTAGATATGGTAAAACCAGGTGGCAACAAATAGACATAAGCCACTGCCTTCAATATCATTATTGACTAATTTATACACTCCAAATTCAAATTCTTAACACTGTTACGTGAATTTGATAAAGCATATAAACAATCAAATAAACAGGAATGCCATGATAACCCTCTAGCATTCAAGAGGCATCAAGCATCTATTTCCCTCCTTTTAGCCCACCCACCAAATTTGAAACATGAGAAAGAAGGACACCTCAAAAACCACAATACGAACCAATTGTGGAAAAAGAGTGAAATCTTATGATCTCTTAGACAGTTTTATGGCGAAAAGCTGACCAGATACCTTATAGGTAAAACAAAAGAATCAATGTAGAAAGGAAAATACCATGATATCCACCAATAGTGAAGCAAAATTCATGTAAAATACAACACCCTCCACCCAAACACACACAAACTCGATCAACACTTAATGCAATTTATACAAACAGCAGAATTCTATTGTGAACATCCACTAACGAATACCCAGTAAAGCATACACAAGCAGAACCACAATAACAAAACCTTTCTCAAAAAAAAAAAAACCCAGCAAACCTGAAATTACACCCGAGCTAACCTGAACAGAAAACAAACAAACAGAGACTAACAAAAATTCAACAGCCAAACAAGAATTTTGAACAAAAAAAATTAAAGAAACCTACACGGAATCGGAAACCGAAATCGCAAACAGATGAATCTCGTGGTGAACCAGAGTTTATCCGAGCAAACAAAACGAATTGCAGAGAGCTGCTCTGATCGTTTTTCAGTAGAGCTGATTGTTACAGACTTTTCCCGGCACAACAACAGCGTGTTGGGTCTTCTTCAGCTTCTCGCGCATAACCAGGTGGAAATAATCAGATTAGAACTCTGTTCCCGAGCTGTTGTCTGTCAAAATTGCTTAGCCAATGAGGAATACTATAAAAAGAACTCTTCCAATTCCATAGTTTTCATAATGGAAGTTTCAATTTCTTTGTTTCCTTCTTCTTAATTACTTTCTCTCAGGGTGGTAAGTGGCAACTCCTGTGTATTAAACACTCGTATCGTAACTGATGAGATGATGAAGGCTTGGTCAAAACCCATTGTGATTTCGTGAAAATCAAAAGGTAGGACCCGCGGGCCCCCCACGTCAGGCTCTGAGATCGATTCCTTAATTCTATTGGCTGTCGTTTTGTTCATGAGACTTTTTTATAATTTTTTTTTACAATAAAATAAAATATTATATAAAATAATAAATTTAAAATTTTAGAATTAGTAAATTCAAATTTTTAATTATTTCTGAGGACGGTTGGGTCGATGATTATTATATATACTTTTTATAATGCCACATGCTTGCGTAATTACAGTAATCAGTTGTAAGTATATTTAACATAATATTTTGGGTGGATATAAAAAGAAATTAAAGATTGACATTTGTAAAATTTAGTCCCTAACCTAACATAAGACTAGTGAGCTAAGTTCTCAATTTTAATTAATTAAATATTATAAGCCGATCATTATTAATCTATATTACATTCATAAAATATTATTTTTACCAAAAAAATATAACGAACTCATTGAAACTTAATTTAATTGGTAACTGTAGTTGTAAAAACAGTAAGTATTTAATTTTATTTAATCAAATATTATAAATCGATCAATATTAATTTATAATACACACAAAATATTTTTTTTTTGACAAAAAATATAATAAGTTCATTGATATTTAGCCTAATTTTGTTACTACAGCTTAAATAACAGACTAATGAGTTAAGTACTCGATTTTATTTAATAAAATATTATAAATTGATCATTATCAGTGTATAATACATACAAAAATGTAACAGCTCGGAATTAGAAAGGAAATAAATTATAAATTGAATGCGGAAGCGAAATAATAGCGTTAGAGTTTGCATTTCTTACGCAATAATTCATAATACCCAATAAGATTACGAGAATGACTCTTCTAAAAGAACAACGAAAAATCAAAGAAATAAATGAAAAATAAACAATTAAACATCCTATTCGCAACCCTTTTCTGGATCAGGATCTAGATCTTGATCATCTTGATCTAAAATGATTAATAAAATAGTGAGTTACACTAACTCAATAAACTACTCACCGATACAGAAATGAAGGTTGATAAAAATCATGAAAACAACTAATGAAACTTTTAATTTAAGTAAATTCATTTATCATAAATAAAATCATTTATTATACACTTACCGTAGCAAAATTTTCAAAATTGACCTATAGAGACAATAACACAACAATATTATAATCTCATATTTAATTAATTAAATAGTAACTTTCCCTTGTAACCTATCTACTGGTATCCATAGGGGTCCATAGGGATCCCCCCACTATGTCTGAACTCTTATTCAACATTATCAATTAATCGATCGTTTCCATACCTCGTCCGGTATTAGCGCCAAAAATATCATCCCTCAATATCTCGTCCGATATGAGAGTGAAACGGGTTGTCCTCATACCCCTTCTGGTATGAGCGCCAAAATATGAATCTTCAATACCCCTTCCGATATGAGGCAACGTTCACAGTAGGATTTTCTATATATCCGATTCGTCCACCATATCCCATGATATCTAGTAAGGTTATCATTCATTCACTCACTTAATGAAATAATTTCTTGTTTATATTTAATTTTTAGTTTCACAATTTAACTATAAATCACGCAAAACAAGCAATACATGCATCAAGAAAGCACAACTGAATCATCATACCAACTCCAGTGTAATATTATATATTTGAAACAGTAAAATCAATCAAACAGGATCAACAGTGAATAATAACTGGTTCTGGCTCCATCAGTAACCTGTGATTATTTATCGAGATCTTCTAAATTGTACAAAATACCACATTATTTATAATCAAACTTCAATTCCATAACAAATAATAGGTTGATGGATTCTTACTCGAATCGATATTATAACACTAAATTTTCAGTTGCGTCTACTGGCGGTCCTTAGGTTCCCTAAATTTTTCTTTGAAGATTAAAACACGCTCCGAGTACCTAAAAATACCCTAAAAAACTCAAAACCAGTGTTAAAACCCTTTTCCAGTTAATTTTTAAAATTTCAGCATGGCGGCACCGCTGTGGTCCGGCGATGGCATCACCACTTGCGGCGGTGGTTTGCCTCGGACTGATCATTTTTGGCCAATTTCGGTCGATTTCGACTGGTTTGTACTCATTCCTATGAGAAAACACGTTAAAGAGCCTCGGTTGGCCAAAAAAGTCGAAAAACATAAGCTGATCGGCAGTGAAGTTTCCGGTGCGGCGGCTCCGCCAACTCACCTTCGCGATTGTGTGTTTTTCTTTTGTCAACATATGGAAAACAAAATGGTAAAAAAATTGCACGAAACAGAAATCGGGAATGGCCTCATCGGAGACGGTTTTTAATTTTTCCTGCAGCGGTGCCACTAGGCTTTACCCTAAGTTTTCGACTCATCTGCCGATCCTTTTGATCCGATTTGGCTATGGGGTGTTCAAAATCGAATTTCGAGCAAATAAAAATTTTTTTACCTCCTTTTGGCGGTCGGAGGTGGTTTCGGCATAGCGGTGGGCAGCAGTTGGCTCTCTCTCCTAGGGACTGGTTTTTCTTCTTTTCTGGCAGGGGCTGATGGCTAGGATTAGGATTCGGTGTGAAGTGAGGTATTTATATCAATCTCTCTTTAATCTGGATCGTTCATCGCGTTTGATCTCGACCGTTTAATCGCGTTTAAATAGGAAGTGAATCTGTATTGTTCATCGCGATTTGATTTGAACCGTATGATCGCGCCTGAGGATGGAATGGATCTGGGCCGTCCACGCGCGCGGGAACAATTTTAGACCTTCTGGTGGTCCAGTGTGGCCTCCCGTGTGGCACCGCGTCATTGTGTCTTGCCACGCGGCGCGCTTTGATTCGTTAGAACTGCTGACTAGGCGGTCATACGTTGCACATTTTTTCTAAATTATATTTTGACCAACAGTTTCTTATTTTTCTTTCAATAATACCCCAATAACCCAAACTTTTACCCATTTTTTCTAAAATTATTTTCAATTTCATCATTATCTATTTTTTCTAATTTTTACAATAAATAAAATTTATAAATTAAAAAAAAAATATATTTTATACATTAATTTTAAATTTTTAAATTTAATTACTGGTATTACAATAAAGATGTTCTTTTTGCTCAAAAATATATTAGACTTATTGAGAGATAACCTAATTTGGTCACTACAATTCCAAAGAATCAGCAAGCTAAGTGATCAATTTTACTTAATCAAACATTATAAATCAACCATTACCAATTTATAATATATCAATAGAGTAATGAATTATATCATAAGTGAAATTTAAATTAATGACATTCAAGTATAACATAATAATTTTAATCACTAAATTATCATCATATTATTAATATAAATCTTACATTAATACTTTCATTAATTAACATATTTAATATATATATTTTTTATTTATAGATGTATTCGATTGAATTTAACGGACATACTTGATGTTAATAGTACAATTATTTTATTTTATATTTAGGCTGGTTATTTTTTGGATTTATTTTATTAAAATTAAACAAAGGGAATCATAATTATTTGACATCTTAATAATTAGCAATAATTTATCAATAATATAATAGTTTAGCAATTAACATCCTTATATTTTATTTAAAAATTATAATTTTAAACTCCATTAAGAATATAAAATTTATAATTTTTAATATATAATTAGTTAGAAGTAATAAATGTATAATACTTGATTTAGTATGTAGTAACTGGAAAAAAAAGAAAAGTGGGGGGGAAACGACGTCGTTTTAAATGGGGAAAAACAACGTCGTTTTGAGGAAGCAGGTGAGATATAAATAGGGGACGGGAAAGAAAAGAAAGAGGGAAGAGAAGGAAAAAAAAAGGGAAAGAAAATAGAAAAATAGAGAAGGAAGAGAGCGGGAAGGAGAAAAAAAGAGAGAAAAGAAAGTTCGAGAAAGAGAGAGAGGGGAGTCGGAGCAGAGAGGAGCAAGAAGGGAGAGAGAAGAAGGAAGTGGACGGTGGTGACAGTGCGATTGACAGGAGGAAGGAAGATGGAAATAGGAGATACAGTAAAAATTTTGATTGTGTAGGTGCTATGTGATTTTGAAATGTTGGTTGTAGGTTGAGGAATCCAGGTAGTTAGTATGTAACGTGGCAGAATTGAGAAGTGGAGGTAGGCAATGTAGGGTATGGGTTGAACGGCGGAGACGTTCACGGAGGAGGCCGTGGAAAGGGAGAGGATGGTGACGTTGGGGTGTACGAGAGATCCGTAGGAGAGAGTGGAGGTTGTGTGAGGTGAGTGTGATCACATAGTAAAGGTCACTGAGAGAGAGTGTGAGTGAGGAAGTTTGCGTGTGTGGGAGATCCGAGATGACGAGGAGAGTTTGTGTGTGAGAGGGGGTACGGAGGGAGTTGCG